GTGTGTGTGTGTGTGTGTGTGTGTGTGTGTGTGTGTGTATGTATGTGTGTGTGCGTGAGCTTGTCTGAATTTTCTTGTTTGTTCAGCTGAACACAGGTCATTAAGCAGGAATACATTTTCTAACCCTGTTTTCAACATTTACAGGTTATGTATTAGGAATTTTAGTATTCAGATACTTATTTACTAAACATGTAAATATAAAAATAATATCAGTTATGGCATAAAAATTCTAAAAGAAAATCTAAAAAAAAAAACAAAGTCAGAAATTAAAAAAAAGATGTGTTCTACGAAGCAAGCTGATTATTGGTTTTCAAGACTCATGTCCTTTTGAACACCTACTAGCTATCGCAAAGCTTTTTTTCCCCAGAAAAAAAATAAAAGGCAGTTTTCTTGTGACCTTTCAGCACAATAAATAATATCTCGCAGCACCTTCAGAAGTTGTGTTTTATTTACTTTTCTATTATTGCCTCCAGGGTCTGACCTGTCTTGCTTTGTGGATCTCATAAACCACCATCCTTCTTCATCAAAACGAGTGCAATGTGGCTGCAAAAGACGCGTCAGCAGTACCACTTCTGAAGCAGTTTATAAACTTTTTTTTTCCACCAAGAAAAACAGCATTGTTTTTAAAAGATCGGAACTCAAAATAAAATCCGCAATAAACAAGGTGAATTATATTGTTCAGGCCTTCTGAAATCATGTGATTCTTTCAAACAATTTACAACAATAAGAGCTTCTTTTGAATACATCAGAACAGTTAATTGTGTATTTTTTTAAACTTTTTGTTTGTTTTGTTTTGAGTTTTTTTATTTGACTGTCTGAAGCAGGATGAGTTCATGAGAGTCACAGATGTGAAAGTCAACAATCATGTGAAAAGTAACCTAGCAACGAGCACAACGTACACAGCCCACACAGCTACATCATCATCATCATCATGCCAATGAAAGCAGGGAGGCAGAAATAATAACCAGGGCTGCTGCTTTCTGAGGTACATGTGGTTCGGTGTCGCCAACAACAAATTAATCAAATGTCAAGATGAGAGAGTCACGACAGTGGCCTGAGCTTCGAGTGGCGGTGAATCATACAACTCTGCTGAGTGCTGAGGAGTCAACCATGTGATAATGAGCAGAATGTGTGCATGCGTCATGTGGAAGTCACTTCGCCAGATATAAAACTGTCCTGTCGCTTAGAAATTAGGAGTGTGCAGGGAGCAATGTGTTTACAATTGTTGAATTACAGAAAACACTTTTTTGTGTATTTCAGTAAAGTAGGAAAGCTGATCAAATGAATCGAAGGAGACATAAAATGCTTATTTAAAACCAAAAACTGTGTATCTAACCAAGTTTTCAAGTCTTATATCCAGCCAAAAAGTTTTATTGATCTTGTTTTGAGACTGATTTACTAAACAAGAACAGAATGTGTAAGATTAATAATCGTATTATCAGAACATGTATGATTATTTATCTTGTTAAGCTGGAAATATGACTCAAATTAAGTGACAAAAATTCTGCCAACGGAGTGAGAGTATTTTACTTGGTAAGATTCTTGAAATACTTGATTGAACTAAAATTTTTTCTTATTTCAAGAATCTTACCAAGTGCAATGTTCTCACTCTATTGGCAGAAATTCTGTCACTTAATTTGAGTCAAATTTTCAATCTAACAAGACAAACGGTGCACGTTCTGAAAACAAGATTTTTAAACTTACACTTTCTGTTCTTGCTTAATAACTCAGTTTCAAAACAAGATGAAAAAGATTTTTTTGGATGGATATAGGATTTTAAACTTTGGCTCGATGGACATTTTAAGCATTTGCAAAACACAAATCCTAACCTGGGAGCAACATGGTGGAAACAACTTCAGCGTCCTCCAGCATGTCAATGACGCAGCGCTGGAAATCCTTGCTGCTGTTGGACTGAAGATAACTATAGAGGTAAGAAAAAAAAACAAACAAAAAATATCACTTGTCATAAAAAATGGATCAAAACATGATGCATCTGCATTTTTCTCTGTATGTGTTGTGTGCATTTCAACTCAAGTTTCCTTATAAGCACATTTAAAAGTGCAAAATGCAAAAATAAACCATTAAATCTAAGTGATTTTAAAGACAAAAATAGGTAAAATCAGACTTTAGATAAAAACTGCAGTGCTTTATAAGTCCACAATACACCTTTAAAGATCTTAACTTGTTTTTGACCACAGCTACATTTGATCTAGCTGACCACCCTAGAAATGTAGACAACTTAGAAGCATTTAAGGATCACCTTTGTGACTGTGTGTGTATTCTGTGTGTGAGCAGGCAGAGATGGGCCATCTGCTCGTCTTTGCTGGTGGGGAACGTTTCCATGAAGAAGTACAAAAATGCCAAACAGTCTGCCAATATCTGATGCTGTACTAACCTCATCCAGGAGATGCGGTCTTGCCAGAACTCATACATTATGTAACACGACTTTCCCGGGAACTTCTGAACAGACACACTGACAGAGCAAAGAAAAGTAGATTGGAGCAGGAATATAAAAAAAAATGACAGCAACGGTGCAAAAAACATGCAAGAAAAAACATTTTTATACTTTAGAGGATTATCAGATAAGTTCTGTGTAGGGGAAAGAAAAGAGTAAAAGAGCTTTGAGACAAATGATGTTTTCAGAAGAAAACTGCTAAATTATTACCATAAAACTAAAACTTATCAGGTTTTTCGCAGTCTGTGAAACCACAAAACAGCTGATAAACAATCCTTTCATTCTCTGCGTCAGTTTGAGCCGAGCTGACGATTCAGGCCCTCTGATTCAGCACCGTTCAGAAAGTGCCACAGCAGCAGAATCTGACAGTGTTTTAAAGATCTATTGCTTTATTTAGACAAAGAAAAAAAAAGTGCAAGGCACTCACTGCAAGTTGTCAGAGTGGGCTGAGGTGGCATCGATGTAACTCTTGAGAACTTTCCGGAAGTTGTCTAGCGACTCATCAATTACAGACATCTGCCTCTGAACCAGCAGGATGTTCTGTTGGCAGAAATACAAGAATCTATAAAATGGGATGATGACAGATTTCTGTTGTCTGTGTTTCAGCTTTCAATTCCCTTTGGGATGAATTGCTTGTTTGTTTTAGACATTGGGGTTTGAGACATTTATGTGAAGTGAGGTTGTTCCCCTCGACGTTCTGGAAGTCGTTCAAATAGCAGTGTGGGTTATAATTAATTCCACACAGAAAAGAATAAAAGTTGGGCAATTAGAGGAGTTGAAAAAGCACCTATGGGGAAAATAATATGGTAATAAGAGCCCTGGCAAAGATCAAAGCAAAAAAAGGGTGCAAATAAGGGAACTCACTGTTTCCAAGTGTCTCCTAGATTGTCTGCGAAAAATTGTCCAGATGGAGAATTTTAAAGGGGATTTGATTGTTTTCCCAAAGTCTTATATTGACTAAATCAGTCAATCCATCCTCATTTATTATTTTTCTCATGTAGCAACTACATTTTGTTTGCAATTGTGACAAAAAAGAAATAGAAATCACAGCAACAAAACATTGATGTTACCACAAAATGTAATTAGTGTCACTTTCTCCTTGGAGCAATATTTTTGCAGCAACAATCTGAAAGTAGGTCAGGCAATGGTACGTTTTTAATCCCATACATTTTCTTCACAAACTTTCAAAAAAAAAAACATGACATACTCTGGTCTTTTAGGTACTTGAGCACCTTGTCAGTCCTTGAAAGGGGTGAAAAGTTCATGTTTTTGTCCATTAACAAATCAATAGCAACAAAGTCTGCCTGCAAATGACAGCTATTCATCCTCAGCATGAACTGATGCCCTGTTTTATATTCAGTTTTACCTTGTGACCTCTGTTCACTCAATATTATAAACATCCCAAATGTGCAGACTCAAAATCAGGCAATTGTATTCCCATTGTTTTGAGCAAACGACCGTGTTACTGTAAATTTTTTAAGTTCTTCATTTATTGTTGTATTTTGATTTTCATAGGTGTGATTGGCACATTTTGGTCATTATTGATCTTTTAAATTTGTTCAGTAAATTTAATTGGCTACACTGTTCAACATCAACGTGAAAAAAGAAAAGAAGAAAGAATTGCAAGTAGATGCTTTTATGGTTTCATTCTCCAGCAGGAACTGCACGGTCAACATTAAAAATGTTCTCTTTTGTAGTGAAAAAATAAAAACTGCTGAGTATAAATGGAGAAAAAAATATTGGAATTTTCTCAGCTTTGTGGAACATACTGTAACCAGTGCTGTAATGTACTTTAGCATCAGAGTGCATAAAGAAAAAAGAGTTGGTGACGCAGAATCAGACAAATGAAAATCTAGCTGAATGAGACTTATGCTTGAAACTGGTGAATGGATTGAAATGACCATGTGTGAACTCTTGTCCATTTCCTGAAATGTGTGTGAAAATGAGCTTTGTGTGGATTCAGATGAAAAACACCATTAGCTTTTTCAATAATCAACTACAATTTGTTCTGTCGCAGAATGCAGCCAACTGTAATCAGGACACTCTGACAACAGTCTCATAGAAATAATCCGGCAGCTGTGGCAGAGATGTGTCAAAATGCCTTAACAGGTATTTTTTATAAGCTTTTAACATATTCTTCTACTTTAAATAATGTGCTAAAATATAAAAGTCTAGAAACAAGGTGCATTCTTTCCCCTCAGAGAATTACAGAAAAAAAAAACAAGAATAAAAACAGAAGACTTGCTAGACGTGTCCTTCAGCTGGTATAATTACTGCACCAAGCAGGAGCAGTAAGAAAAAGCAGGGAAAATTGTTGCTGTGTGCCATTAACTCCCATTAAGGAGCTTCTGTCATCATGCAGTCCACACGTCAAATAAGTTAAATCCGAGTTTATTAGATCATAGTTGCACAATGTGTAATTTCAAATATTTTACACCGTGCAGCTGCCTTCAGACAGTAAATCTGACAAAGCAATTATAACTTCGAGTCTGTATGTTGGTCTTAAATGTGAGGTAACTCGACTTGACTTTGATCAAGAGGAAACATTTCTACGTGTTGGCTTTTTAATGAGCCAGTCAAGTTTTGTTTTAGATATATCGTCAAAAAAGCTCAGATGAGTACAGTGAGAGAAATGGAAAAGTAATAAAAACAAAAATAAAAACAGAGAAAAGCATGTTAGGGTTTTAAATCTGAGATTGAAAAAATACGTGGTTTTATATTTTGAGAAAAAGTTTCAGGTTTGACTTTTTATTTTTCCTATCAGTAAAATTGGACTGATTACATGTACAGTCAACAACAGGACAAACAAACAATCCTAAATGCAGAGTCCAACTTAAAGGTGAAACACTCAAGTATTTATAAAAGGTTAAATAAACATTTATCAGATCAGGGATTTCAAATAGAAAATTAAATTAGACAAAACGGCTCACAGCTTGAAAGTACATCCCTGATGCCCCCCAAGGAGGGATTAGAGATGCGGGACAGATATGATCATTACTTAACAAGGTCCAGATGTGCCGAGGAAAGACTGCATTATTAACAAAAACAAGGCCTCGCAGCTGAGACTGTAGATGAAAGAAACACAAAGTATGTATGACATTCTGCACAAGTCGTATGGGTGTAGACAAAACATCGACAAACTTATGGGTGACGCTTCAGTAGGTGAGAGGTGAGGAAGACCCCAAAATTGGCTGATTGTTTTTTTCACCACTCCAGAGATGCAGTTAAGACATTTTAAAAGCAGCAGGAAATTCAAGGCTGCTTTGTTCCAAAACAATTGGATTATCTATTTGGCTCCCAGTGGCACAGCCTTGATGGCAGTGTTTATGTGAATCTCCCCAGGATGGAATGTCAACAAAGAGCTTGTTGCACTCCCACCCCCATCACCCGTGCTGGTCCTGGCTCCGGAACCCATGGCCGAGGAAGAGAAACTCTGAACTCTGGCTAAACGAGCAGGAGACGATAACATCATGTGACTCTGGACTCTGGCGGTGGCCAGAGTAGGGACCTAGCACGGGCCCTCCTCCCTCAACCGCTGTGTCCAAAACAGTGGGCCGGGTCCTCCGAAGGCTGAATTCGTCGGCGGCATACGTCACAGCGCCGCGACGAAGGCCATCCAAAACCGAAGACTCCTCTGATGCGGCCGACAAATGCGCCCTTCCTTTGGCCCGAATCGAAGGACAGGTCTGATGGATCCTTCCCGGCCCAGCATATCCCATAATGCATCGTGGCCCGACCGGAGATTTTTTTTATGCTAGTAATGGCGGACTAAGTGAGAGAAAAGAATACGTTTTAAATAAAAATATGGTGATATAAAAATTAATTTTTTTAGCAGTTGTAATTCGAACACTTTTATCATTTGTGTAGACATGTTTTGAAATATTATTTTTGTCATAAAAATACGCGAAATAAACATGCACCTACAGCGGGTCAATTAGTTCTTCAAATGTTACCTTTAAGTTACTTTTATTGTTTTGTGATACTAATAATGATAATATATTGATATTTTTCTAGTTTTGATTTAAGTTTGCTTGTTTAGCATCGTCACAGTTGCTAGGTGACATGATGTAAGGATGGGAGGCTAGACCGTCCAAATTCACAGCCTTCCGGTCTTCCCGGTCTACCAAGGACACGGCCCACCTTGATCGGGTAGTCTGGGTCCTCCGGAGGACCCGGCCTGTCGTTTTGGACACAGCCAACGTCACCTACTCCTCTGATCCCACCCCATTTTACCTCCCCCCCTACGTGTTATCTGACCTAAGCCCCCCCTCCCCCCGCTCAAGCTGCCTGCTCTCACGCGAATTATTTTTTGCACACATGACCCTGTATTTCTGATGTAAACATAGGATCAGAGCAATTTTTTAACTCAACTTTCCTTTTGTGTATTTCAAGTTGTTAAAGGTAGCACAACTGTGTTTGCTGCATGACCGGTTTCACCTGTTCCCCCATGTTTGTCATGTGTGTCTTCTTGAATGGGTGTTTCTTAACTGCTCCCTCCCCCTTCCCTGAATGTACAGCACCTTGTGAATATATTTCTGTGAAAGGTGCTGTATAAATAAAACTTTACTTACTTAAATAAATAAAACTTTACTTCAATTAAAGTCAAAACCAAAATGAGACTATGCACAATGCCTGCCTCATCAAAACACATAATTATCTAATTATTTCAGTATATGAATAAAATGTAACAGCAAGAATGCATTCGGTGATCTGACATTTTCTGTAGAAATGTATGCAACGATTAAAATGTTTAATTGGGTAAATCTACATTTGCGTTTCCACATGCATGTCTGAGCTCACACAAACTTCTGATAGTCTGTAGAATATCAATAAGTTGTGGTAAAATGTTGTTTTTGTGTACATAATCTTGTGATCCCCACAAAGAACAGCAGCCAACAGAAAAAAAAAAGATTTTCAAATTCTAGTGCTTAATGTCCAAACACATTTTAAAAATAATTAACAAAAGAGCTACATTTTATTTTGGTGTACTAAATTCATTTTTTCCCAGGTAATCCTACTTACAGACTTATAGGTGCTGGCCAGTGTGTCCTCCTTTAAAGGCTCCAGTTTGGGACTCTAAAACCAAATGGTGAGAAAGATGAGAAAAAGCCCATAATCAAACCAAGATCAGACGTGCAACAGAATATATACAAACAGTTAGCAGAGAAAAGATCTTTGTCGAAGTTTTATATTAAGAAAGATGATTTATAATAAATGCAACAACATGGAGTGAGCTGGAAGGTCGAAACCTCCTTGTTTCATTTGAGAGAGCAGCAAACAAGAGTGAGACAGACAGAAGGTGTGACGGTGTCAGCGTCGGGTTGCTGGGATGGATATTGCTCTCAGAACGTGCTGCAGGTTATGAACTGCTTTGATATTGCACTCTGAGTCCCTCCGGTTTGACAAAACAGAAGAATGGGGGGAGGAGGGGGAAAAAAACGTTTTGGAGAGAGGCTGGAAAGAGTGAAAGAATGAGCGTCAAAAGGTGGTCGTAACAGGAGTTCATAAAGCAAAGGAGCAGACACAGAGGGAAGAAGAAGGAGCAAGAGAGCGTGAAAGAGGATTGGGGATGGGTGGTGAGAATTGGTCATGGTTTGAGAAATCTGGGGAGGTGACTGCACTTGGTGTTTGACAAAAACACCAATCTGCAGAGCTGCATATAAAAAAAACTGTTTTTATTTTTACATTTACGGAACCCAAAGAAATTAAAAATCAACAGCTCTTTATGAAGCGCTGTCTGAAAACACACAAACCGTGCTCATGGCTGTTGTTTCTGACATCACTACTAAAATCATTCAAGCAGAAAATTTACACTTTGTTCAAAGATACAACAATAAAATAAACTATACTAATAACATATTTATAATACTTTTTTCAGTTTTTTTTCACCAGAAAAATTATTTGCTATTTTTTTTGCCATTTTGAGACTCTATTTTAATGTCTATTTTTACCTGTTCCAACAGTAAGTCTACATAAATAAAATAAAATAAAATAAAAAACACACCTGGCACTCCAGTTTATCCAAAAGTTCCTGCAGTCGGTTGATCTGAGAGCTCCAGTTTTCCCCATCTTCCATGGTGACACCTGAACACATCAAATAAACTAGTAGGTGAATCAGTAAATCAACAAAAGCAAGCAACAATAATGAATACATCCATCATACACTCACACCTGCACTGTTCAAAGTTTAAACATTATTGTTTGATGTGTTTCTGCCTGGACACAGGTGCCTGAGGGAGCAAAACATTTAACATGGCTCCCCCCATAAGGTGTGGGAAATGAGGTATAACAAGTTAAAATATTACATTTAAAAGTTCTTGATCTTATCAGGAATCACTGTGATTAAAGAAGGTGTGAAGATGTTTTTTTCCATAGAATTTTAGCAGAATTGTGTTAGATCATAAATGGGAGTTAAAAGTCTACCTTGTCTGGTTTGACAAAACGTTGTAAAATTTACCCTCAACACTAGCATAATGGATGCTTATTTCAAATTATGGTTCCAAATATACAGTAGCTCTAATAATTACAGCAATCCATTTAGTTTTAATTACTTTACTTTGGGGAAAAAAGCAATGAGTTAATACGCAACAGCTCTTCTTCATTCTAATTCTGTTTTTTTGCTTCTAGTGTCAGTCATCATTTCCATTTTAACCATCAATTTGGTACTGAAATTATAAGACACAGACGCTTTTAGCTTTCTAAAGATCTGTTAGTAACTGACACCAAGTAGTTAGTTAAAGGCTGCGACATGCTTAGATTTATCTTGGAGTCAAGTTTTAGGCTCAGAAATATTAAAGGATTGTGGCATTTCAATCACTGCAAAATGACTTGTGTGGCATCTTCTATTAAATTGTCACTACATAGTTTCATAAAGAGTTTGTGGTTAAAAACTGTGAAAATGCAGACACACTGTCTTAACATCCACCTCAGAGCACAGTTTTATCTGTAATTACTTGCTTCATTTTCCATTAAGAGAGCAACACCTTACAAAAGTGCCAACACTCTCTAAAAACAGCCCATCAGATTGTTTTAACACATTTCTGAGCCTAAAAAACTAAAACACTAAAAGATTTTCGGACAAATTTGCAAAGGATCACTACAAAGCAATCCCAGAAGTCCATTTAAGCTTTAAATTATGTAATCTGTAAGGTGGGACATACATATACGGACCAACTGCTCAGCTGAAATGAATGCTGGAGATCATGGAGATCAAGTCAATATCTTGAACTTGATATATTTACTAAATCATTTTATTTTTCAGGGTGACAGTGCGCTTTACCCTGCTAAAAGTAGAAACTGTCACAGTGTACTTGGTCAGCATTAATGTTCAGGCAGGTGGCAGGTGTCAACACGATCAACATGAGTGGCAGGACGAAGGGTTTCTGGAACACTGTCTAAACAAGCACACTTTTTTTTGTCAGAATGCCTTTTTTACTAAATCCGTCATGATGTCAGATCTTGTACTTTAAAGAAAAAACAAAACAAAACAAAAATAAATAAACAAATAAATTAATAAATAAAATTTGCAAGGATCTTTGTGATTTAGCAACATGTAAGGCTGTGTGGACAAGTCTTCCCTTGAAGACCTCTTGTAATTAATTTGCGAATAAAACGTTTCTGTGCCTCTGTATGGTCGTAAACCCCAAAAAGGGTCATCTGGAAGCTTGGAGGGGGGGTGGGGTGTGAAGCGCCTTGTTTGGATTTAAAGAGACAGCCTCAAAATGAATTGATCTGAGACACATCTCAGAAAAGGGATGAAAGAGGGGCTTGTGGAGTTACAATAAAGAAGGATTACATGTCAACCTCTTTGGACGTTTACCTGTATAAAGAGCCTCAAAAATAGGTAAAACTCGCACCTGCAGGTGGTAGGGTGGGGGTAGGG